TGAACTGTATTCATCTCCTTCAGGAGATGAATCAGCTGCTGCGCCGGATTTTTCTGAGGCTGCAAGGGACTCAATCTACTCTTATATTGAGCCCTATCTTGATGAGCCCTCGTMTGAGGAGGAGCTTGATCAGCTCTATTCCCTTCATCTCCAGTTAAAGGAGAAGAGGAAGAAGAGATCAGAACTGATCATGCTCAAGCCTCAAATTAACAGAACCAGGATCAAAGCCTTGCTTGACTGTGGGGCTACAAGGAACTTCATTTMTCAGAATGGAGTTCAGAAACTTCATTTGGGTCTCAAGGTTACTGACCTTGAGCATCCTTTGGAGATACAGGTAGGGAATTCTCAATCTGTCTCAGTCAAGCAAGTCATCAAAGGAGTGCCAGTCACCTTTGATGACAAAGGGGAAATCAGACATTCCCTGAATTTCTATGTTTTTCCCCATCTTCCCTTTGATCTGGTCCTGAATCTGAAGTGGTTAAGGGCTACTAACCCTTCAATTGACTGGGCTCTGCCCAGTATTCAATTGAAGAATTCCCAGGGTGAGCTAAGACAATGTGTCTTAGCTACTGACCATCATCCTAAGACAAGTTGTTACTGCCTGAAAGCCAGGGAGTTTTACAACTTGTCTAAGGAAACTGACCATGAGAATCTGTTTGTGGCTTATGTCACTCAAACAGATTCAGATTCCTCCCCTTCTCAGATTGATCTTTCCATTCAACAGATGGTTGACGAGTTTTCTGATTTGGCTCAGGAGCCTACAGGACTAGTCCATAGGCGGACCAAGCACCATATTCAAATTCTGCCTGACTCTACCCCTCCCAAAGGAAGACTCTATAGGATGTCACCTGCTGAACTGGATGAGTTGAGGAAACAGTTGGAGTCCTTGACAGAGAAGGGATGGATCAGGCCYAGCTCATCTGAGTATGGGGCACCGGTTCTCTTTGTTCCAAAGGGAAATGGTGAACTCAGCATGTGCATTGACTATAGGGGCCTGAACAAGATCACTAGGAAGAGCTCTGAGCCCTTGCCTAGGATCGATGACTTGCTGGACATGGTGCAAGGCTGCAAAGTCTTTAGCAAAATTGATCTGAAATCTGGGTATCATCAGATCGAAATGGCTGAAGAGGATGTCTACAAGACAACCTTTAAAACCCGGTATGGCACCTATGAGTTCCTGGTCATGCCTTTTGGTCTGTGCAATGCACCAGGAACATTCCAGACTGAAATGAATCGCATTTTCAGACCTTTTCTTGACCGCTTTGTTGTGGTGTACCTGGATGACATTCTGGTATACAGCAAAGATGCCAAGGAGCATGCAGACCACCTCAGGAAAGTTCTGCAGGTCCTTAGGGAACATAAGTACAAATTAAACAAAGAGAAATCATCATTTGGTGTTTCCTCTGTTTTGTACCTAGGTCATGTGATTTCTGCAGAAGGTCTATCCCCTGAAGCCTCCAAAGTGGCTGCAGTCAGGGAATGGCCACAGCCACAGACTGTGAGGGACATCAGATCTTTCATGGGGTTAGCCTCTTATTATAGGAAGTTCATCAGAAACTTTTCCTCTATTGCTACTCCCCTGACAAACCTGCTAGCCAAGGATGTTCCCTTCAGGTGGTCCACCACTTGTCAATTGGCTTTCTCCGGATTGAAGAAAGCACTTACCCAGACACCTGTGCTRAAACTACCTGACCCTACCTTGCCATTTGTGTTGACCACAGATGCAAGTCAGTATGGTGTTGGTGCAKTCCTTCAGCAWGATGATGGGACCGGCCTGAAACCGGTGGAATTCATGAGTAAGAAAATAAAGGTGCAAAGAATTCAGGCGTCTACTTATGAAAAGGAACTGTATGCTCTCGTCTGTGCCCTCAAACAGTGGAAGCATTCCTTACTTGGGAGACATTTTAAAATCTTTTCTGATCACTCCACTCTGCAGTGGATGAAGACCCAAGGTGAGTTAAATGATAAACTGGCAAGGTACATTCAGTTCATCGACGGATTTGACTTTAAACTGAAGCACAAGAAGGGATGCTATAACAGGGTTGCTGATGCATTGTCACGTAGACCTGATTCCTTCGCAGCCATTGTTGACACATACTCTTTTGCTGATTCCACCAAAAAGRCCATTATTGATGCGTTGCCTCATGATCCGGTCTTTGGCCCCATTCTTAGGAATTTACAGGCTGACCCCAGTTCTGAGTCAGGCTATGCCTTGACTTTAGGCCTTGCTGTATACAATCAGCGAAGGGGAAGAACGTTTGTGCATCCCTAATGATCGCAAGATCATCACTCATCTGATCTCAGAGAGCCATGATGCTCGCGGTCACTTTGGGTTCTTAAAGACGTATGCTGCCCTGACCCAACGTTTCTATTGGTCTAAAATGAAGGACGATATCCTGCATTACTTGGAGACCTGCGAATTGTGCCAAAGGAACAAGGTCCACAAGCGCCCTCCTATGGGACTTCTCAAACCCCTACCTATCCCTGATGGTCCAGGTGAGTCAGTGTCCATTGATTTCACAGACCTGGGCAAAACCACTCCACGTGGAATGAGACAGGTAATGGTTTGTGTGGATCGATTCTCTAAGTATGCCGAGTTTATCCCCTTACCTGTTGAGGCCAGAGTACCTCTGGTCAGAGAGCTCTTTTGTGAGAGGTGGGTAAATGTCCATGGGTGCCCAACCTCAATTGTCAGCGACAGAGATCCCAGATTCTGCAGCGATGATTGGCAGTCCTTCTGCAAGGACTACCTACATTCCAGACTAGACATGACCTCTGGCAGACATCCCGAAACCAATGGACAGGCCGAAGTGATGAACCAGGTCTTGTTTCAGTTGTTGCGTCCTGTGATCACACCCGATCAGCAGGACTGGGACAGACATCTGTCACGGGCACAACTGATGTATAACACGTCTGTTCACAGCACCACAGGCTTTACACCCTATAGGCTGCACTTTGCAAGAGACCCCAGACAACCTCTGGACGATCTGATT